AAAGTGGACAAATTCGCCAAAAAATAATTGCTCTGGCAGGTCATATGCCAATGCGGTAAACTGAGTAAACCGTACATCACAATGGGTACCATCAACAGCGAAATTTACCGCACCGAGTGCCTCCAGAAGCGTCTGTTGCCCTTCCTGCGGTTCCACGGAGGCGAGACATTATGTTGGCCCGACCTGGCATCATGCCATTATGCGCGATCGACGTTGGATTGGTACAAAGACAATAACGTTGTTTTTGTACCAAAAACCGCCAACGTTCACCAGAAATTCGTCCGGTGGAAAGATTTTGGGCCATAGTGAAGGCCAAAGTTCGAAAATCGTCCAAGGTGTTTAAGAACGAGCTGGAGTTGAAGAAAGAATGAATGAAAGTGACCAAAAAGGTCGGCTCCACCATTGCACAAAATACAATGAGGGGTCTTAAGGGAAAGGTGCGGGCTTTCAGCGATGGAAAGGAAATTGAATTAAGTAATTATGCTGAAACATAATCCATATGTATTAGTTCATTCCCTGAAAGCTTCACTGCCCTGTGCGGCATAACAGTCCCATTAGCATTTTTGGCGATTATGAGTTATACATTGGAATCGATTGTCAAGTACCATCACTTTACAATGTACACGAAAAAAATCCTACTTTGTTCAGAAAATGTCTCGAAAAATAACAAAACTATGTTGTCCCATCCATAAGAGCCCATGGAGAAAAAAATCTTCAACAGCGTTTTTCTCAGCTTGCTGTTTTAACGAATGGGACAACTATGCTGAAAAGGGCAGTTCAAGAAAATCCTACTTAAAATAATTTTTTTTGCGAACACTTTTGTCTGGTGCATTTTTTTCGAGTACAGGCCTTATGCTTTAAAGGAGTTCCAAGTACTTCAAGGAAGCTTGGTCTAGAGATCTTCCGGGAAGCGGAGAAATTTTCAGGGGCAGTAGACTTCAGAAACATCCAGTCTTTCGGGCAAGCTATAAAAGATCTGCGAAAGCTAGTTGCGATAAATTCAGGACAGCAGCATGAACGTCAGCAAAATTTTGAGAAACTTTTAGAAGTTCCATGAATTTCATTGAAGTCCAGAGAACTCATGATAATTAAAAAAAAACTTAAGGCGCGTGGGGGCGACCCCGGTGTAGTGGTTAGTGGTCACGCCACAGTCTCGAGTTCAAATCTCACCCCCGGACAAGTCACGAATGACCCAAGAGTGTTAGTAAGTGACTGTAATTAAAAACAAAAAACTTAAGACGCATTTTTGAAACACTATAGAAGGCCAAAGATTTTCAGGAAAGTTTAAAGTTTTTTAGAAGTGTTTTATTAGAACTTCAGGATAATTGTGATAACTTCAAATTTTCTTCGAGAACATCATTCCCTGAAGATTTTTCCAATCAAAGAACCTCAGCTCAATTAACATCCAGAAAATTGCAGGAACTTTACAGACATTCCAAAAAACTTCGATTTCAGAGATTTTTAGGGAAGTCCAGATTAGAGAAGTTTAATGATTTGTAAGCAGCTTTGTTCGGGGATGTTCCGAGTATTTCCAGAATGATCAGGGAACTTTCAGGTTCATTCCGAGGATTTATGGAATGTTCCGAAAATTTCAGGACTATCCACAACATTCTGAAATTCTACGGGGTGTTCAGGGAAGCTCCATTAATATCAGTTAAACATTTTAAACGTTAGAAAAGTTCTGACAAAATCGTGAATATTTAGGGAACGTAAAATAAAATCAAAGAGCATCATGGCAATTTTGGGATTCTCAGGGAAATGTAGAGATGTTAAAGGAAGTTCCATGAGCTTCAAGGAAGTACCGAAGAAGGCAGGAAAATTACGGAAGCTCCAGGGTAATCAATGAACTTAACTGCAGGAACTTGCAGGAACTTTTAATAAGTTATGAGAATTAAAGGCAAGTCTATCAATATTATTGATGTTCAGAGATTTTTAGCATGGGTTTTATCCGTTAATTTAGCTACTGTTCGTATTTTATTTTATAATCAAATATTAAAAGGTAATTGGGTCGGTATTGGAGCTCGTGAGCTCCCGAGCGCAAAGCAAAACAGATCCAATTGACATATCTTACTTTATCTATCAATTACACTTACTTCAAACACATTTTGATGTTTAAGGCTTTTTAGTATAGTATTTTTTAGATGCATGTCAAGCTGATAGAAGACAACTTCACGCGTGCCCCAGTTTTAATGAAAGGGTACTAAATTGTGGACATAAAATGAAATTACAAATATGGGCGCTCCTCAATGGGGGTGTACATATAAAAAAAAAATCAGTGAGTAAGCTGCTTTAAATTTACCATGGCACTTCGTCATACGGATGAAGGCAAAAATGCAATGGAAAAATGTATTCGTTTGGAGTGCTACTTTAAGAACAAAGAATGTAAATATTCATACTTTTGACTCTTAAAGACCTTATTTCGTAGTAGAGATGGGTATAACGGATTGCATAGGTGAACGGATCAGAACCGGTTCATTCGTATAAGTGATCTCTTCAACGGTTCACCGGATCACTTTACCCATGTTCAATTTTGTGAAGGTTCTCTATTTAACAAAGAATAATTTCATAAGCAATTCATTATCACCAAATATTCGTTGCCTCCATGGTAAGGAGAAGAGGTCTGACAATGTGAAGCTAATTGTTCTTTCCAGCACCGTATTGACACAATTTTTGATAATTTCTGAATCCTTAATGTTTTCGATCTGATAACGCAAAGAAAGGGTTATTGAGCCGACGATCCAGTTCTAATGAAAACTGAGCCGTGAATCATTTACTCTCCTTATTACCAAGACTGCAAAACGATTTGCTCTTTGAACAAAAAGTTACTAATCATTTAAAGGGTGTCCACGATGAAATTGCCACACACAAAATTGATTCGCAAAATTCGAGTTTTCATCCGATTGCCATCAAATTTTCAGGGATTGAGAAATAACTATTAAACTTCATTTTACCATTTTACTCGTATTTTATTTACAGTCCATACGCAAATGCCCGCACCTTGGCCTTAACCCCGGCCATAAGATTCTGCACAACCTGTGAATCAACCGTTTTTTGCATGTAAACCCATACTTTCTTCAGTTCCTCGACTGTCTTCACTACCTTAGGTCGTTTAAGAAGGTGCTGCTTCATAATCGCCCAGTACTTCTCGATGGGGCGGAGTTCCGGAGTGTTGGGAGGGTTGAACATTTTCGGCACGAAATTGACCTTATTGACCACGAAATTGACCGCATACCACTTCAGCACGTCCTTGGAGTAGTGGCATGAGGCCAAATCCAGCCAGAAGATTGTTGGGACGTTGTGGGTCTTCAGGAGAGGAAGCAGCCGCTTCTGGAGGCACTCTTTTATGTACACCTGTCCGTTCATCGTGTCCTGGGTCATGAAAGGTGCACTCCGCTTCCCGCACGTGCAGATGGCTTGCCAAACCAGGAATTTCTTCGCAAATTTGGATATCTTCTGAGTGCGGACATGCTCCGGAACGCTGAACTTATCCTTGGCCGTGAAAAACAGGTTGCCGGGGATCTGTTTGAAGTCGGCCTTCACATATGTTTCGTCGTCCATGATGCAGCATTCAACTTTCGTCAGCATGTTGAGGTACAACTTCCTGGCACGGGTTTTGGCGGACTTGTTCCGCTTCTCGTCGCGATTAGGGGCCTTTTGTACCTTGAACGTTCGAAGCCCAGCCTTAGTTTTGGCCTTCTGGACAAAACTTCGGCTTAGGTGCAGCTTCTTAGCCACATCCCTAACGGAGGCGTTCGGATTTCGGTTGAAGGCCCCAACTACGCGGTTGTGATTTTTGGTGTTGTACGGAATACTTTTTCCTTCACTTCTGGGCTTCCGATCGGTGGTGAACCGTTCCTCGAACCGCTTAATCACTCGCGACACCGTGGAATTCGCGATTCCCAACGTTTTAGCGATGGAACGATGCGAGAGATCCTTGTTCTCGTGATGAATGCGCAAGATTTTATCACGCACGAGCTGTTCTTTCGACTCCATTTCCGCGAGTTTTGATCACAGGACTTTAAAACTTGCAGGATGTAAATAATGCACTTTGAACTAAATCCACCCAAATTTTCATTAAATTCTACCTAACGGTTAAAAAGTTAGAGCAATTTCATAGTGTGGCAATTTCATCGTGGACACCCTTTACTTAAGACCAAGTGTTCCACACATACCTACAAGCTCATATATACGCCGGTAGGTATGTGCGGTGCAATAGGTCTAAATTAATATGATAATAACTTTTATTTCTCAGCGGCGCCGGTGGTGTAGTAGTAAGAGTGATTGCATCTCACCCCAGCAGGGCGGCGGCGCAGGAATGTTCTGAGGCATAACATCTCTGATCACCGTAAAGCCGTTGGTTCCCGGCTCATGAGTTGATGGGTCGATAGGTAGGGTCCAGGTGTGGGAGCTGCTTCCCTGGTGTCGGTAGCATTGGTGCTCAGCACGGAAAACAATAGCGACGGAAAACAATCTAAAGGAAAAAAAAACTTTTATTTTTGAGAAGTCTTTGACAAAGTTGTTCTGCATAGTATCCCTAGTCTTTTTCCGATGTATGGTGAAATTTGAGCAATATTTAAATTTTTGCTAAGAAAATGCATAGGTTCTTTTCGTTTCCCTTGAAATTTTCCCATACAACATTTTAAATTCTCCCGCAAATCCAGATCATAACCGAATTTGTTCAAATTTGACATCGTTGTTAAGGACCACCATACGCATCGAAATAGCACTTGACCCACCCCAATGAGGACAGTTACCCGGGCAATGGTATTTCAAAATTACGTTTTCTACACTTCGAACTTTACCGTGGTAGTTTTTCTTCTAAAAACTTTAGAAAATTGGGTCTCATTTATGCTAAGCTTGAAAAAATCTGGAATTTATTGCTTCATTTACTTAAAATCCCTGATCGATATGATTAATTCTGTGATGCAATGTAGTTAGAACTGTTAGGACTTAAATCCCACGAATGATGAATATTTTTGCCATAAATCCTCTACTTCCAGGGACTAGTCGTTTCAATGCTGTACTGCTTCCTGAACTACGAGGTCCGGGGTACTCTGCGGTTACACTACTACCGTTGGCGAGACGAGCGCAACATCCGACTCGGCATCATTTCCAAACATCGAAGGTAAGTGCGAGTGCATGTGCTCCAACGTTATTTCGGGATATAATGATCCAATCAATCACTGGCGGTTTGAAAATCTAGTTTCAAGTACATTGCTGGTATGATTGAGCAGCATGGTAGCCGCGATCGTATTTTATAGCTTAGCGCAATCATAACAAATGTTAGCCCCCGTTGCTGCTGTCGGACGGTAATCCTAATCTTCAATTATTATTTATATCTTCAACACGCTACCGCTACCCACTCTCTGTGTGCCGGCCGGATCATATTTCCTGCAATTTTCCAACCACGTGGGACCAATGGAAAACGCTGATTGCATTTCCCGAACTGCACTACCCATCTGTGTGCTATTATTTCGTCGAACAACCCATCGAAATGAAAATAATAAAAAATACACCCTATCAATCATCATCCATCGTGAGGGCTGTCATCGCTCGACTTTCATCGTTCCACCGATTGGCGAATAAATTATAAATACTCGATCGCAATCCGAACGTCAACGACAACGAAAAAGACCAACCATGAGTGGAACTGAAAGTATACGGTTTGTATGGCGTATTCATCGGCTTAATCATGCTTCCTGTGCTAACTTTCATTCAACACCATTCACTTACACGATTGTCACACTGAAATGCGCTTAAATTTGTATTTCCGTCTGTCTGTGGGATTTTTTTTTTATACCATTTCGTCGTAATCCTCCTGTCCGGGATTCATCTCTCGTTGACCACGTCCGCCATGTGCTGGTGTGAATTATCGCGTGGGCAGCAGCTTGGAGGGATGCGAATTTTACGCTTCCAGATCCCCGTCAAGGATGATGATGGCGACAGCTGAAAAAGCGATGATTGATTACCAATTTTCGATGGATATTGGCTATTGAGCATCACACCAAAACCACCCCCACTGCCCGACCGACCGACAGCCTGATGACGATGCTTATCTACTTTTGACGTCGTTCGGTGCATCCTCGGTGTAAAGGAAATGGATCGTTTGTTTTTCGTTTGTTTGCATCTCGTTGCCTATCTGATGGATTAATTTTTCCAATCAAGAGCGCGGCCGCCTTGTTTCGCTTTAATTTCGACATGCTGTGGATCAAAATTAACGACCAGAAGTTAATTAGTTCCGGATGGTCAACATTGATACATTTTTGTTTTCTGATGGGAAAAGCCATTTCGGATAGAGAATTACAATAGGTTATCGGGAGCAGAGGCGGTAAATGTCATGAAAATGATCTGGAGAAAAAATTTGGTGGCATCAATTTCCTCCAAACAATTTAGTGGTGACATCCCTGCAGTGATCGGGAACCGCTACTCGAGAGTCAGATGGTTTAGAAAAAAAAGAAAATGTTTTTTTTTTAAAGAAATATTGGCTACACAGGAAAAACATTATTTTGATATCACATGCATCCACTTGCACTTCAATCGTGTCAAAAATATGGTGTAATATTACTTGCCAAAAAGGACAAAATTATCATTAATATAGTGCATGACCTGACATTGCGCTGCTTTTACAGCATTTGCCTATTTTTGTGGCTTTAAAAATTACATGAGACTTTCGACATGATTGAAGTGCATCCTCTTGGATGAAATATTAAAATTAATTTTTTGCTGTGTACGTACTGCTATCTGACGAGCTGTCTTCGCTCTGTTCGTTACTCTGGTCTTGCATTTTCTTCTTCTTGCTTTTCCGCTTGCTTTTCGAGCAGATTTCGGGCAGGAATTCATCCTTTCCGTTGGACCCCGGTTCATGAGTTGATGGGTCGATTGGTAGGGTCCAGGTGTGGGAGCTGCCTCCCTAGCGTCGGTAGCATTGGTGCTCAGCACGGAAAACAAGATCGACGGAAAACAAAACAAGTAAAAAAAGGAATTCATCCGGTGTACCTCCGCACAGTGGAGCAGTACCCGGAAGCGTGACCAAAACTTCTAGCACCGTGGGAAAGTATTCAGCAGAGTGAACTTAGGGAATTTCCGTTATCTTCAGCAAAGCTCCGAAAGAATTTCTGGAACGCAGTAAAAATTATATGGACATCCAGAAAACGATAGTATTTTAAGGGAGTTATATCATGAATATTTCAAGAACTTAAAACAATTGTGAAAATTCAGCTAAGTTGATTAGGGAACATTTAAAAAAATTAAAAAGGTGAGATTTTTTAGCAAGCATCGATATTTTTGAGAAATTCCAGCGGACTTCCAAGAAATTAAGATGATTTCAGATAGTTTCATGATATTCAGTGAAGTTCCGAGTACTTCGAGGACTTCAGATCAAGCCGATTAACTAGCGGTAATCTGCAGCAACTTACAAGGAGTTCCATGGAATTTTTGGATATTCCAAAAATTCTATGATTGTTTCGAAAACTTTAGAAGCATCAGGGAATCATGAAAATATGTATCATAAAATTTTCCGGAAAATTAAACTAATTTAGAGAACTTCAGATAAGCACCGAAAACTTCAGGAATGTCCATTTAAGCTCAATTTATTTCAGTAAAATTGCGTGTTCTTATAAAAAAATACAAATAAATTCAGGGCTGCCTAGAGAACTTTGACCAAATTCAGAAATCTTTTGGGTGGTTTTCATAACATCAGGAAGTCTAGACTATAGAAGAAGTTATGAAGTAGTGTCGATAATTGAAGGGCAGATCCATGAACTTTTTCCGTCGATCTTGTTTTCCGTGCTGAGCACCAATGCTACCGACGTGCCAGGAAGGCAGCTCCCACACCTGGACCCTACCTATCGACCCATCAACTCATGGACCAGGGACCAACGGCTTTACTTCCCATCCAAAGGAAGCCGTGATCAGAGATGTTATGTATCAGAACATCCCGGCGGCGCCGACTGGGATTGAACCCAGGCTGCAGGGGTGAGAGGAAATCACGCTTATCACTACACCACCGGCACCGCTACACATAGGCATATTGAATATGTTTGGACATATTTCTATACTACAGACATTGTTCATCTGGTATGCTTGAGAATAGGTTGTGCATGATCCACACAGACACTATGAATCTGTTTGGATATATTTCGATACAGCAATTGTCCCAGTTTTTGTTGTTCTAGTAGAACACATCATCTGAACTCCATGATAATTTGGAGAACCTACTACATCTGGTATACATGACAAAAGGTTGTGCATAATCCACATAGACACTTTGAATCTGTTTGGATATATTGCAATACTACAGATATTATCCCAGTCATGGTTGATCTAGTAGAACACACCATCTGAACTCTAGGACGAATTGGAGAACCTAGGACACCTGGTTTACCAAGCAATAAGTTGTGCATGATCCAAGCATACACTATGAATCTGTTTGGCTATCTTTCGATACTACAGACATTGTCTCAGTCTTGGTTGATCTAGTAGAAAACATCATCTGAACTCCATGACGATTTGGAGAACCTACACACTTAGTTTTTTCTACCGAGCTCGGCTGTGCAAATCTCGGCAAAATAAGTTTCACTGAGATCTCAGCAAAACTGACATTTGATTGCTGAGTCTCGGATAATGCTTAGCTGAATCTCAGCAAAAAAATGAAAGGATTGCTGATATCTCAGTAAAACTTTTTTTGCCGAGATTTGCACAGCCGATCTCGGTAGAAAAATCTAAGTGTGTAGAACATCTGGTGTACATGACAACAGGTTACATGATTTACATAGACACATTGAATCTGTTTTTGATACTACGGACATTGTCGTACTCTTGGATGATGCAGTAGAACACATCATCTGAACTCCAAAACGATGTGGAGAACCTAGAACATCTGGTATGCTTGGGTATAGGTTGTGCAAGATCTACAAATTCACTATAAATATGTTTGGACATATTTGTATACTACAGGCATTGTCCCAGTTTTGGTTGCTCTAGTAGAATAGATCATCTGAACTCCAAGATGATTTGGAGAACCTAGAACATCTGGTCTACTTGGAAAAAGGTCGTGCATAATTCACATAGATACTTTGCATCTGCTTGTTTTTAACAAGAATTGCATACTGCTTTTCAAAAACATCGGTCAAGTAATACAGCATTTTGATTAATATTATTATAATAGCCCTGGAGCCAACAGGTTAAAAAACGTGGAACACTAGGCCGGTGTGAAGTCCCAGTAGGGACGTAATAAAGCAAAAATAAGATGGATTTGATTGAAAACTAAAATAAAATAATTAATAATTTCAGGCAAAAACGTTGCAAACCTCAATTGCAATGATTAATTCCCTTTATATTTGGATAAGATTTAGTTTTAGTTTTTAGTTTGAAGATGCCAATTGTCATACTGACATGCAGGCAGGGCTGTTATAGGATCACTCAATGCGTCGATTTTATGAAATCCACACAGTGAGAATCAAGCAAACACAAAGTTTGCTAGTCTTGCACACTGTGTTAAGTGTAAAGCATTCTTCTTTGTTGCGCTCTTCTTCATCTACTATGCACACGCTATTCTGAATGTACCCAGTGACTGAGTGGATGGCACCCATTCTTGTATCCAGTAAGGAGTTGTCAAAATCTGGGTAAACTAGTTTTCTTATGATGCGTAGAATCTACCCAGATTCTGGGTAAATGGTTCTCATCGAAATTTTCCCAAAGTAAAAAATGACACAGGTGTTAAAAGGGAGATTGTTGCGCTGTCAGTGAAAGTTTTAATGCTCAAAATTTATAAATCTTATACTATAAAATTTACAGACATGGAACTGTTTTCATGGCGAATGCTACCAGAAGCTATAGTTAGTTTCTGGGCTTTGAATATTCTCCTAATTCTAGGTTATCGAGATATTCTGCGCCGCTTTTCTCGATGCCAAATGTTTGTTGTTGTTCCTAATTTATAGAACTCATTTAAAATCATATCTCAATAAATGGTAAATAAATTATCGTTTTCCGGGTATTTCAATGTCGTATTCCGTAGTTATATATTTTTCCGACAATACGAACTCAACAATCAATAACAGGCTATTCGGGTGAGGTTATGTTTGATAGAGCTACTGCAGCGGTCATTACAATTATTATCTATTAAAATGGGTAATGTTTACCCTGTTATCAAATGTCAACATCTGAGTAACCGTTACCCAGTTTCTGTCGCAGGTGCATTTATCAAGAATTGGGTAAATGCATGTTTACCCATTTTTAGGTAGGTCGCAGTTTTGATCGATCTGGGTGGATGCTACCCAAGTTTGGGTAGTGTTGAAATAGCGTGCATGCTATCGTGGTATACACGGTAAGAAAAAAGTACCCAACGGCTAGTTCACTTTTACTTACTTTTGACTAGTTTGTCTCCTTTTCTCCTTCTAATGTTGTCAAAAACTGAGGAGCAAAACCACTCAACAGGGGTAGTAAAGTGTGGGAACCCAACATTGAGTATAATCATATTTACCTACTGTTGGGTACAACTAACTTACTTTTGGATTGAAAGCTAGTGGAAAATTCCATACGAATTGCACACAAGTAAATGAAAATTACTTTGACCCGCTTTACCTACTTTTGGGTTCCTGCACTATAGTGCCAAGATGAGTGAAAAGAACTTATTTTTGGGTACTTTTTTCTAACCGTGTAAGCA